GAGGATAAAAAATGGGGTTTTCATCATATTGCTTGAGTTTATTCCTCTACATCATGTCATCTTACTTAAGGCGTTACTTTGTTTTTTATGAACTTAATACTCTAGATGCATGCTGGATAGCGGTCGATGTGTGGAGTAATAGTTGTAGATGCAGGCATGAGTCGATCTACTTGACACAGACATGATGCCTATATTCATAATCATTGCCTTAGATATTTATTCTCTTTCTTACCTGAAATGCCTCCGATTTCTATACCAAACTGAGCCCTTTTTGCGGATTTGGGACCGTGGATGCGTTCTACGTAGTTAGGGGAGCCAAGGGAGACCTCGATCTACTGATGGGATAGCTCTTGGTGGTCGTGGTGAGCATTTTGTTGGAGCTTTTTTTAGCACATTGGTGGAGGTTGTGGCGGCGGTGGTGGCGGTGAAGCTCGGGCAATGTGATGGAGGTGGTGGAGGTGAAGCTCCGGCAATGTGGTGGAGTTTCCGGCTCTAGTTCCGATGATTGAAAGCGGCCGTTCGCCGTTCCTTCGCACGCTTCAAGGGAATATCTCAACACACATTTTATCTTTCATAGTTGCTCCTGTAGTATTCGGTAATATGTTTTGATGTGAAATATATTATGTGTGCGATTATTGTTATTTGCTCCAGTAGTATCCGTAATATATTTAGATGTCAACTATTTGTGTGAAAATTTGAAGTTGCTCCGGTAATATTCCATACTATACGTGGATGTCAAATATTTACGTGTGTCAGTATTTGTAGTTGCTTCGATAATATCCGTAATATATGTAGATGCCAAATATTTAGTTCTGTCAATATTTGTAGTTGCTCCGGCAATATTCGTAATATATTTAGAGTTTAATTTGTAGGTGTGTGAATTTTTCTAGTTGCTCCAGTAATATTCCGTAATATATATACATGTCAAATATTTAGTAGTGCGGATATTTTTAGTTGTTGCCTTATACTTGTCTGTCGTTGTTGAAAACGAATTTAGGTGAGCCAAGATGTCTGATATAGTGAAGTTTGCATTTTACTACAGTCCTGATACTGTCCAAACAACTGAGATGGGAGATGATCTGAGTGAATTTGATCACATAGAGGTGCCACTGACCGCTCCTTAAACATGGTCTGTCTGTCAGTTGAAAGAATGGGTGAGAGCAAGTTTAGGGCTTGATACTCGGTGTTCATGCATTATGGACATGGTCAAGTTCAATCACTTACTTTTATTTGAGGCCAATAGAGAGAGACTCTGAGTGGGTGCGGTGGTTATAAGGTTGTGAACGCAGGGGATGCAATCCTGTTGCGTTAGTGCTTCCCGTCGTGAAGGAGGTAAGTACATATGAAGGCGGGGGTGGCTATGTTCCTGGCCAGAGCAGTGAAGGGATGCAATTATCTATGTCAAATGATGGTTACGAAACATGACAGAGCAGTTAGGTAGAAGGAGGAAATGCTGATGGTTACAAACCAGGGCAGAGTAGTCAGGCAGAAGGAGGAAATGCTAATGGTGATTACAGTGGCGAAGTGGACTGTGACGCCCGCGATTCAATCGTACACTAATCATACACGCAAATGTGTACGATTAAGATCAGGGACTCACGGGAAGATATCAAACAACACAACTCTAGACACAAAGTGAAATGATGCAAGCTTTATATTACAAGCCGGGGGCCTCGGGGGCTTGAATACACAAGAGTCAGCGGAATCCACAATATCTGAGTACGTACATAAGTTAGCAAGTTTTCCATAAGAAGGCTAGCACAAAAGTATCAATGACCGAAAAGGCAAATCCTCCTACCTGGGAGCCTCCTAACTACTCCTAGTTGTCAGTGGTATCCACGTAGTAGTAGGCACCCTCGTGGTAGTAGTAGTCATCGGTGGTGACGTCTGGCTCCTTGGGTCCGTCGTCTGATCTCAGCAATCGGGTATAGGGGAAAAAGAGGTAGCAAAGCAACTGTGAGTACTCATCCAAAGTACTCGCAAGACTTACATCAGATCTAAACTAAGTATGCATCTGTATCAAAGGAATGGGTTGTATATGTGGACTGAACTGCAGAATGTCAGAAGAGAAGGGGAAAAGCCTAGCCTATCGAAGACTAGCATATTCAAGCATCTTGCAGCATTAGAAGAGATAAGAATAACATATTAAAATAGTAGTAAGTATGTTGTAACATCGCCCAGAGATCACTTCCTCAACTCCCTGCGAGAAAGTAATCCCGGAGCCATCATTTTCATTTCATGCCTCATCATCCAAGTGGTGCAACGCCAAGGATGGCAATTCACCGCATGCGTTTAAATTGTAATAAACACAACGAAAAAGAATGGAAAGAGTAGGCATGCAGTCCTCAAATCGCAGGATGACAGTTATGCAAAAGCAGAAGGATGAAAATTACCTGAAGAAGCATCAACTCTATCATGTTATGAGCACATACATGTAAAAAGGTATGCATAAAAGTTGCCGGAACCTTTGGCCCATTGCCATTTCCATCCACCCCGATATGCTAAATGTATGACTATGGATGTCCCTAATAGAACCCTTTTATAGAAAATGAAAGAACTAGAACTTTTAAAACAACAAGGTGCGGATAACAAAGGTTTTTTACGGCGCTGATTTTAGTGCCCCCAGAATCACAACATACCGAATCCGTGGACCATGGGTGAGGAATAGTTATTCTTCATCTTCTTTATTTTAACATCAACGCGCCGTAATTTTACGTTCCGTAAATTTTGTTTAAAAAATTTAAACATTTTTAAACGCAATTTTTTTCTAAAAAAATTGAACATTTTATGAAAACATGAATATTTTTAAAAAGTCAGGTATATGAGTAGTGATTTCAAATCCGAAGGTTAATCGTACTCTGGCATTCTTTGTAAACACACACATTGTTAAAAACACAAACAGTTTTTGAAAACATGAAGTCTTTATGAAAACGTGAACAATTTTTGGAAAATCCAAACATTTTTTGAGAAAGCAGAATCCTGTGCACTAAAGATAGGTAAAATGGGCCGGCCCAAATATCTTTCCCGTTTGCGTGCAAAAAGCTCGACACTTTGCCGCAGTGCAGCAAATCTTTCCCTACTAATAAAGCACGCATCGCTTCTGGTCGTCCGTCATTAAAAGTGCCCTTGAAGTTGGCAATAATTACCCACCAATGCCACCCATAAGTGGCAAAAACGATTCGTTTTTAATTTCTAATATCGCTCCAGGGTTCTGTTATTAAAGGTGGATACGATATAATAGAACCAATGTATGAGCAACGTGATGGCTGAGGCAACGATGCTCCACACAGGAGACCAGGGTTCGATCCCTGGTTCTCATGCTTTTTCTCTTTCTTTTTACCAAGCGCAGTAATGGGCCAGCCCATGTGCGGGTCGTGGCGCCCCCTGTTTTCTATATCTTTTTTTATTTCTATTTTGTTTTTTCCCTAAAAATAAATTTCGGATTGATGGCGCCCCCTATTTTTTATTTCTTTTTACTTTTTTATTTCTGTTTTGGTTTTTTATCTCAAAATTAATTTCGGATTTCCAAAATATCAAACAATTGCGAGTTCTGAAAAAGTAGGAAAATGGTAAACTGTTTGTGAATTTAAAAAATATTCTAAAAATCAAAAAATGTTCATGACTTAAAAAATTGCTCACAAATTATAAACAAATCACGATTTCTAATGATTTCATGAAATAAAAAATGTTCATGATTTTTTTAAATGAGCCAATATTCAAAGCATATTCAGGAATTTAAAAATCATGTCCATCAGCTTTTAGAAAATGTTCACAAAAATTAAAACACATCCGTAAATAATGAACAAAACTAATTGTAGGTTCCATAAAGGTTTTATTAGGAGATCTATATAGCTCGTTTTATGATTTTATTTAGTCCTTCGCGTTGGGTAAAAAAGGGTTTCCGTGTTTTGTACAACGCTGAACCCAACAAAATTGACATAACTTTCTAAGGGTTTGTTTTTGTAAGCTATATTAAAATGACTAAATGTCTATTTTGCTTCCATACACAGTTATGCTTATTTTCATATCACAATAGTGGTTATGGTAAACACCGCTACGCTAAGTCCAGACGAGACACTTTATTTATCAGTATAGCTCAGGCAGGGTCCGTCAATGCAGTTTGCTCAGCCACAAAATATTTTGTTGTGACGCCTTAAAAAATCAAGTCTTGATGAGCATCATATTGTTCATTTTTGAAATTACATTTTAAAAGTGTCTTATCGCATCATGACATGATTTGTATATACTTTGTGAATTTGATTCATACTTTTTTATATCTACCACACATGTATAACTTGATAGTTTTTTTCCGTTGCAAGGCACGGGCATTTCCAAAAATGTTCGCTAAATCAAAAAAAGTTCGTCAAATTCAATAACTATTCCACCCAATTTCTAAATATTTTCATCGATTATAGAATGTTTGCCAGTTCAGGAAAATTGCTTAAAAATGTTCACAATTTCTAAAAAATGTTTGTAAATAGCAAAAAATATTCATAAATTGAAAAAATGTTCTTGATTGTAGAAAATGTTCAGAAATTTGTAATAGTATGTTGTTTGCGATTTCAAATATGTGCATGAGTTTAACAAATTGTTCATAATTTCAAAATGTTCATGATTTCGAGAAATTGAGAGAGATATTGTATCTCGGTGATGCAACGAAATGTGATCATGACCATTTGAAATTATAAATTTTTTTCTCCCGTTGCAACGCACGGGCCCATTTGCTAGTAGGAATAACCCAGAAATATATGCTCGGATTGTAAATGAACAAAAAAAAAATGGGCTTTGGTGGAAACCCATGGGGCGAGTTCGTTTGGGCCGTGTGCTAAGAAGCCCGTTTCCGAGAGAGCCTAGGGCTGGCTTTGGGGCGACTATATATATATGTGTCCCCTGGGAGCGCTTGCCAAACACAGTATCCACCGCCGCAACCAACCCAGCCAGATCGAAAAGGGGATCGAGAGGTCCAAAAAGAAAAGGGGATCGAGCGACTTAGGGTTTCGATGGAGAAGGCGGCTTCTTTCTCGACGGAGAAGGCGGCGGCGCCTGCATCCCACCCGTGGTTGAGGTTCGACCTGTATGTGGAGGGGTATCCGATCAAGAAGCAGAAGATGGTGAAGCTGGACCATCGGAACAGCTACATCAAGTGGCTGCTCGTGTGGGACAAGAAGCCTCGCCGTCCCCTGCCCAACTTCCCAGAGAGGCTCCGCAAGGTCACGGACGCCATCAAGGCCGAGCGCGACGAGAACGAGAGGGTCCTCGCCGACTTCAAGCGCGACGGCTACGCCTACGTCCAGGTCGACGTCTTCAACGACGACGACCCGAGGGCCAACCTTCCCGACCACCACTACGACATCATCCATCACGACAGCGACGACGACCAAGGCGAACAAGCGGAGCACATTCTAGGCCGTCTCTGATCTTGTTAGAAGAGACGACGATGCGTCGTTCAATATCGAAGTTCCAACATAAGACGAGGATACACGACGTCTTGGCTGCTAGATAGTGTTACCTAGTCGTGCTTAATGTTGTCTTAATCATCCTATTAAAGCTATCTTAATTAGCTGCGTTGTATGATGGTCTGTTGTCTTTCTTATAATGTTGTGTGTTATCTCAGTTCTTCTTTCTTATATATAGCAATTCCATGTCTCGTGTCTGCTATTGGGCTTCTGTATCTATGTTTCGCTTTCTGCCGGTGAGATTGCTCTGAAAGCAAATTTCCAGAAATCTACATAATAAAAAGTTCAGAAAGCAAATAGATTAGGTTGTTTCATTAGATGTTCCATGTAGCGTCTTATATGTATTAGGTCTCGGTTTACAGGGCATAACTTTGGCAGTCAAAGAGACAAGAGAGGACTTGTTTCATTTCATTACGCACATTCAAACAAAAGAATTTGATACAGCAATCATGGCAACCAAAACAGAACCTGCATGCCAACCAGGTAATATTCCTAGAGATAGATGCTGCTCACATGGTGTCATTTGTTAATCTATCTGAATTTGAAGACAATCTGCAATCAAATTTACAATTCAACAAACCACTAATCAAACACCTGCATATGGCCAAAATATTTCAATGCACATCTGCTAGCAAGAGCAATAAACAAGTAAAGACAGAGGATTGGCTCTCAGCTACTCCCTCCCTAACTGTTTACAGAGGTGGTATTTTTGGTGGATTGCTATTTTTTTTCCAAGACAGTATATACAAGATGCCGATCACATTTACTGTGATGCAGCTATATTCACCCCTTGAACTTGCCAATCAAATTCCATGACGTTTATAAGTTCAGTCACAAAAATAGAGCAGCTATTATGAAGATTGACACCTCTAAACTTCATGGCAGCAATCAGTTGACACCAAACACATGACAAAAGGATAAAGAATGCATCAAACGATTTTACTTCTGGGATCATAGAAAGGAAACATGGACTGTAAGGTTCACGCTATAAGCTTTTATTTAAGTATCATGGCGATTAAGTACAATAGTAAGACATACCCGGTGGCCACAAAAATAGGCAGGACTCTGCGTCAATCCCACATACCAAATAAACATGAAAAACTATGACAGCAATCATGCAATTACAAACCAACAGCATGTATGCGCTTTTGTTACACACACAAGAAAGTATTTCGTGCGTAGTTTAAGCCAATCAAATTCCATAAAGTTTATAAGTTCAGCCACAAACATAGAGCAGCAACTATTAAGATCGACACATCTAAACTTTATACGGAAAACAAACAGCTAGTAACACATACTACTATTGCCAACAGCAGCACAGTAGTATAATTTTGCTCATGAAGAGTCTCACTTGTCAGATATCCTGCCTGCAACTGCAATTTTCAAACAGTTAAACCAAGGACAATTATGAATCTACTGCCAGCATTTCCTAAGATGCAATTCTAAAACAGTTAAACCAACCAGGCCTGCCAAGATCTGTAATGATTGCAAACCCCGAATTGAAGAGCAACGTAACAGAGGGATTCAATAACATGAGTGGCACATAAATAACAGGAGAATAGTAGCTTGCCGGGTTACAAAGGCAGAGGACACACTACATAACTACGATACAACATCATCATCAATTGCAGACAGAAGTTTAGGACGCAGTACATCGCCAGGAGGAATCATACACTAATCCATAGCAGACATTAGATAGATAGATAGATAGATAGATAGATAGAGAGATGTTGCTCAGTAGATCAAGCTTCTTCGTCGCTGTCGTGGTGGATGATGTCGTAGTGGTGGTCGGGGAGGTTGGCCCTTGGGTCGTCGTCGTTGAAGACGTCGACCTGGACGTAGGCGTAGCCGAGGCGCTTGAAGTCGGCGAGGACCCTCTCGTTCTCGTCGCGGTCGGCCTTGATGGCGTCCGTGACCTTGCGGAGCCTCTCCGGGAAGTTGGGCAGGGGACGGCGAGGCTTCTTGTCCCACTCGAGCAGCCACTTGATGTAGCTGTTCCGATGGTCCAGCTTCACCGTCTTCTGCTTCTTGATAGGATACCCCTCCACATACAGGTCGAACCTCAACCACGGGTGGGATGCCGCACCACCAGCCGCCGACGCCTTCTTTGCCGCCGCCGACTTCTTCTCCGACTTGGCCTTGTCGAGCGCCGCCTTCTTCTCCGCCTTGGCCGCCATGTGCATCTTGGAGACTGTCCGGACCATGGGCTTGCACTTGCTGCGTCTCTGGCCCAGGACGTCCGGCTCGCCGTGGTGGGCGCGGGAGATGTCCAGAGCGGCGAGGGAGACGGAGACGTTCAGCTCGCGGAGGACCGTCGACTCGTCGGGCGGGCTGGGGGTGGGGGTGGCCTGGAACTCCCTGTTGGCGAGGCAAGAAACCGGCACCGGCAACGAGATCACTCCTCCCTCCATCGCTCTCTCCCAAACCCTTGGCTCTGTTCGCTGGAAGCTAGTGGGCGGCGGCGGCTGTTCGAAGCGTTGGGACCGAGTGAGAAGGAGACCCCGGTCTCGCGTATAAATAGCCTCGCGAACCCTAGAGCTTCCGCTTCGGATCGGATCCGGTCGCCGTCTCGGGCTCGGGCTACACCGACGCGCCCGGTCTTTCTTTACTCTCACTCAAGTATCCTTGTCGGATGCGGATCCCATTCGCTAACGCTTGCGGGTCCAGATGTCGAACCTTCTCGAGGGCCCTGGAACTGACTTTGTGCAGGATTGATTGTGGGCCAAGAAACCCTTCTTCAGGATTGTGGGCCAAGAAACCTGGATCCAGCAACTTGGGCCATACCTATCGAAGCATGGCATTTATTGCTTATGGTTATCGGTGCACCGAACTCATGTTGTACATTTCAAAATGCTTAAATTTTTTGAAAAAAGAATTAGCACATTGAGACAACATCAATGTAGGATGTCACAAATTTTGAAATCAAAATTCAAATCATCGCTCGAAAAACGAAAATGACAAGGTCTACACTTAATAGTACATAACATAAGTTGGGCTTTAGAAATATTTCAAATTTTGCTACCAAAACTTTTTGACAACATACAATGATGTTGTGTCACTATTTTATTTTTTTTCAGATTTTTTTAAATGCTCTGCAGCATCCGGTGCACCAGTAGCACCACAAGCGCGGGTGCACTAGACACATTCCCTCAAAAGTGTGGGTTTCCAAATATGGAATGCCTAATGTTTCTTTGCCAGGGGAATTAATCGAACTACAGTGAACGGAACGAGTAGGGCTTTGGATGAATCGATCTATTATCGAGCAATCTTATTGGGAATAACAAGGGCTTCCCTAGATACCCAAAGTTTCATATCTGAAGCAAGTGTTCAAGAAACTGCTCGAGTTTTAGCAAAAGCTACCCTACAAGGTCGCATCGATTGGTTGAAAGGCTTGGAAGAAAACGATTGGTCATAATAAGCTTCATGTAAGCCTTTGATGATCATCTAGGAACATCATGTATACAAGTCACATGTGGAAAGACAACTTTAAAGCTATGAATGAATGTTCAACTAAGATACAAACATAACTCATCATTCACACGCAAAATGGTCTTGAAAGAGTAAAACCAACACTTGAAAAATATCTCATATGCATGACCATTATTTAACAAAAAAAATGGACTTCTTGGCTCTTCCCTTGTCATACAATTTGTATATAACTAGTTTAGAGCACGCGGGGGTTGAAATCTTTTGACTGCAACGACCATGAGGCGGTGCTTCTGTCAGGGGCGGCCTTGGGTAGGGGCAGGAAGTGCGACGGCCTAGGGCCCAGCCTGATTAGGGCCCCGACCTCTGTGTGTATTTCAGCCAATCGTTCGTTTAAGTTGATAAAACAGTAGCTGATACAATCCTTAGCCGATGTTTGTTCTCCCCTTGTCCGTCTTGTTGTTCTCTATTCTGCTCCTCTTTCAAAGCACCTAGCATTATTGATTAGAGGTAATATTATCGGGAGTCATATAACTTGTGTTCAATGTTCAGGTTGGTGCTAAAATTATAAAAATATGGATTTATGGTCATCCAACTCGTGTTTTCGTGCAAATACGGTCACTTCACCAAGTACCGGTTCGTGTCTATGCGACAAGAAATGCTGAATTATATATGTTGGAGACGACGGCTCCTCTATTCAGGTGGACATGTTTTTTGTTAAACCATATTTAGACGTTACCTCATTTCGAACTTTCAGACGAAAAAACTAGAATTGCCAAGATATTTCGAAACCCAGGTTTTTTCGATGCCCCGAAAAAATGGAATAAAAAAAATTCTCTTTTGCAAAAGAAAAAATCTCGCTCATAAAAAAGTTTGTATGCCATGGGATAAATATTGCTCATTTTGACGCGGTTTTTTTACTTTGAACTTATTTGACGAAAAAAAGGAATCCAAAAAAAAAAAATATGTGTCGAATATTAAGCCAAGTGTACCTCTTTGTATGGATGTATATGTTGTTGGTGAAGTGGTTTGCTAGTGCGTGCATGGACCTAATGTCGGGAGTTCAAATCCCCGCTTGCACTTTTTGTTCTCATTTCTCTCGTCACCTTGTTCATAAATGGGACCCACGTGCGTCCGCTTAATTAAATATGGAATGAGGGTGCTTCTGCAAAAAGAAAAAAAAACACTAAGCTGTTCCAGGCACTGATAGTGGGCCATAGCCACGCTGGCGTGCCACATAAGTGTGTATAGTCTGAATATGAGTGAAGTGACCGTATTTGCACGAGAGTGCAAGTTAGATAATCACAAATTCGCGTTTTTAAAGTTTTAGCACCATACTAAACATCAAGTGCAAAGTTATATGACTCCCGACGATATTACCTCTATTGATTATGGTTGGTTCCTTTGATCAC